TATTAAAGCTTTATAACAAATCTAATCATAGATATGGAGGCACAGAGAAGTGCTTGCATATTACACAGGTCACACAGCAAGTTGATTTGAACTTGGAAAATGTTTGCACGGATAAATAAAATGTGGTGATGTCCTTATGATGAAATATTATGTGTTCTAAAAGGAAAGGGTACGGCGTCATGCTGCCACATGGAGGAACCTGGGAGACACTATTAAGTGACAGAAGCCAGGCACAGGGGAAGGAGAATGATCCAAGAGCAGGCAGCACCTTGGAGACAGGTGGATTGACGGTTACCAGGGCGCAGGGGAGAGAGGAGGAGCAACGTCTGCTGCGGGCACAGGGTTTCTTCGGGTTTTAAAGTCACGACCCTGTGCGTGAGTGAATTGTCCGGCATGTGAATTGTTTTCCCAGTCGAGTTGTTCTTTCCAGACATGAAGGGCCGGCCAGGCGCCAGGACGGGCCGGGCGCCTTCTCTCTGTCCCCTTGGGTTCCAACGATGACACGACACGTCTTGGTTGAAATAAGTGGGTCAGACACGCAGATCTCAGGACAGAGTTGTCCCCTAGTCCCTGCCGCCTGCAGCCCCAGCTCCCTTCCCAGCATCCGTGAGACGGAGATGAAGGAGGGAAGGTGACAAAGGGGACGTCTCCCTTCAGTCCTGTCACCTGGGCCACGGGATTACCTCATATGGAGATGCCCTTTAAACCTAAATCTGGGGCTTCCGAATGTGACCAGCCTGGCCATGTGCCCTCTGTCCCCTACCCCCACTGGCCTTGAGTCCACAAAGGACTCAGAGTCCCCGAATTCATACTCCCAAGCTGCCACTTGCCACCTGCTGGCCTTTGGCAGGCGTCCCAGCCTCTGAGCCGGTCTCCTCGACTTCAACTTGGGGCCCAAGACGCCCACCCCCTGCTCCCCTGGGGTGGGCGACCCCGCATGGCAGACTCATGGTGTGGGATCAGCCCAGCTCTGGCTGCGTGGGTGCCGGCTGTATACAATCAGACACACGAGAGCGGCTGTCTGCAGGGTGCCCACAGCACTCCAGCTCTGCCACCTCATGTCCCCAGCCCACACCCCTGTGGACATCCTGCTAGGGAGGGGGCTTGGAAATGTTGTGCAAAATCAGGGAGGGCCAGAAAAACGGGACAGCCTGTCCCACAGAGGGGCATGGCCGTTCGAGCTGAGTGTGCCCTGGTCGCCCTCTGGCTCATCGACATTCTACTCCCGGCCGGCCGACAAGAGAGCTTTGTTGAGAGGCCCAGGGAAAGAACCAGCCAGACTGTGTGTGTGAGTTTGCGCGCGCCTGTGGACAGACGGACCTCTGCTCACAGCCAGGGGCAGACCCAAGGACTGGTTTAGGGCAGGGAGTTTTCAAATGCAACATGCTCCAGTTGCTTGATGGTGGTGGTGATGGTGGAGGTGTTGATTATGATGTTGGTGATGGTGATGGTGAAGGTGGTGGTGGTGTTGGTAATGATGGTGATGGTGGTGGTGGTGATGATGGTGATGGTTGTGGTGATGATGATAGTGATGGTGGTGTTGGTAGTGATGGTGGTGGTGGTGGTGGCAATGATGATGGTGGTGAGGTTGATGGTGATGGTAGTGGTGGTGATGGTGGTGGTGGTGGTGATGGTTGTTTATAGCGGTAGTGGTGGTGGTGGTGGTGGTGGTGGTGGTGATAGTGATATTGGTGTTGGTGTTGATGGTGGTGATGATGATGGTGGTGGTGATGGTGGTGATGATGATGATGGTGATGGTGGTGGTGATGGTGGTGATGATGATGGTGGTGGTGGTGGTGGTGGTGATGATGATGGTGGTGGTGATGATGGTGATGATAGTGATGTTGGTGGTTGTGTTGATGGTGGTGGTAGTGACGGTTGTGATGTTGGTGATGGTGGTGGTGATGTTGGTGATAGTGATGATAGTGGTGGTGGTGATGATGATAGTGATATTAGTGTTGGTGGTGATGGTGGTGATGATGATGATGGTGATGGTGGTGATGATGATGGTGGTGGTGGTGATGGTGGTGGTGGTGTTAGTGATGTTGGTGATGGTGGTGGTAATGATGATGATGGTGGTGGTGATGATGGTGATGATAGTGATGTTGGTGGTTGTGTTGATGGTTGTGGTGGTGGTGATGGTGGTGGTGACTAACTTACTGTACACTCATTCAGTTCCTGGCCCCTTATGTAATACCTTCTCCCATCTTCTGAGACCAAGAGGGAGGTGCCATTGTCACCCACTGTACAAGTGAGCACACCATCGTGGCAGGGGGCGAAAGCGGCTTGCCCAGGGCTACACAGCTGTGCACAACAGGCCAGGCTGGAACTCCGGCCCCTGAGTCTTGGCCACCTGCTCCTGTGTGCCAAAAGACTCTTGAAGGGGGACCGGGGACAGCAATGAAGACCTGTGCTTGGATCACAAGTTTGGGGGTCAGGCTGCCTGGGTCCCCTTGCCAACTCCTGCCTCTTCCGAGCTCTGTGACTGGGGCAAGTGACCACCTCTGAAACCCCCGTCTCCTGGCTGTGAGGTGGTGGTAATAACAGTCCCCACCTCCTCTGTGGCTGGACACTTATTATTGTGGCTATTGTTTCTCTGTCACCTACCGTAGGCCAAGCACACACCAGGGACTTTAAATTTATTTAATGGTCCCTGGGAAAAGGTGTTGTCCTGTTTGCAAGTGAAGACACCGGTGGGGGGAAGGCAGGAGGACCCTGTAGACGGGAGCATAGCAGCTCCCCACCTCCGGGAACCCCAGCTTCTGAGGGGGGCGGGGTGGGGGCGGGGCCGGTCCTGCGAGCCCATTGGCTGCCCGAGGCATAAAGCAGGAGCCAGGGAGGATTCAGGCCAGTCCAGCTGCCTCCCTGGGTCCCTGAGACCATCAACACCATCTCCCTCTCACTCCCTCCCTCTGTCCAGACGTCCAGCTCATTACTATGCCTGGTAAGTGACCCTATCCTCAGTCATACCCCAGGACCAGCCAGGGTTTGCCAGTGGACAAGGGGTGACAGGGCCAGTGATGTGCTGTGGAGCCAGCGGCTGGGTGCATGGCCCGCTCTGAGCCTCAGTGTTCCAACCTGTCAGTTGGGGGTGATAGTAGGAGCTTGCTGCAGATGGAATGAGAGAGCACTTAATAATAACAGGTGACATTTACTGAGCACCTGCCACGGCCCAGTGAGAGGGCGAGGGTGGGGGTGGGGGTGACAACCCAAGGCGGGTGCACAGAGGCAGGGGTGGCTTTCCTGTGCCAGGCCCCCCACCTGGCTCCACATCTGTGGGAAGAATTGTGACCTGCAGGACAGGGTCCTCCAGATGCCCCCGGGGTCCCTGGGGTGGGCTCCTGCATGGCAGCCAGGGCATGGTGAGCTGTGCAGGCCTCCTCTGCCCGTGGGTCAGAACCAGCGTGCACTGTCGGGGTCAGGCCCTGCTCTCTGATTGCATTCAGGAGATGTAAGGGGGGAGGCCTCAGGGGCCCATCAGCCCAGACAGCTTGGGGCTCCCACATGTGAGGGCACTAAGGCTGGTGCCACGGCCAGGACCCCCCACGGGGATGTCTGAGCCAGTCTTGGGGAGGGGGCTTCCTGAGCCAGGAGTGCCCAGGCGAGGGACGGGAAATTGGGGCACGGGCTAGCCGCCCCCGGTGCCAGGCTTCTTGGGGGTGCGGGGACCCCAGATAGGCCCCTGAGCCGGCCACCTGTGATCTCCTCTGCCCCAGCCCAGGTTGGGGGGCATGAGTCTCCCTGTGGCTTTCAGTAAGAGAGAGGGACGGATGGAAAGGCCACGGGGGTGTGCGTGGGCTGGATTCTTGGCCATCTCCACTGTAACCACCCGGAGCCGGCACAGGAGGGGTGGCCTGAGCCACACCAGGGTCCTGGGGAGACCCTGAGCTCGGGAAGCCTGCCCCAGACCTACCCTGCCTCCCTGCTGTGACCTAGGACATGCTGGTGTGGCCGCTGTGTCACCAACTACCCAGAAACGGCTGCAGCTGGCAGCGGTGCTGTGGGCTCAACAGGGCTCAAGGGGGCGGTGCGTACCTGGGGTCTCTCAGGGCGCAGGGGGATGACGGCTGAGCCAGAGTCACTGCAAAGCTCCCCTACCCCACGTCTCACAGTGGACACCACCGCCAGCTGGGACCTCCCAGCCCTGGGTGGACCCCCAGGGGCCTCTACCCAGGGAGGGAGCCCACAGGGGTCCAGCCAGCTGTTCTGACCTCGGCTTGGGACAGTGATGACAGCAGCCACCCTGCAGACTCCAGAGGTGGCTGTGTCCCTCCCTTCCCAGCTCCACATTGGACATTTGGAATTGTCCCTGGCAAGAGTAGGGACATCACAGAGGTGGCCCGCGTCACCATCAGGGCTTTCAGTCCCTTGATTGCTAAACATTTGCTGACACGCCACAGCTTGGACATCACATAGTGTCCCTGCCCCCAAGTCACAGGAGCCCAGGGCTCGGGAGGAAGCTTGGCCTGCCTGTCACGGTGTGGCTTCATGAGAGGTGTGTCCAGGTGGGAAGGACTGTGGTGGCCGTCTTGGAAAACCTGACCTGAGCCTGGCCACCTCCCAGGATTGGGAAAAGCCCCAAATGACATCACGGTGCCCGGCTCGTGCTGACCATTGGAGAGTGATGACTAAGGACAACAGTGGAGTTGGGCTGGGCTCGGTGGCCGGCGGTCGCCCTGCATGCCGAGGCCCTGGCTCCATCCCCAGCACGACAGAAATGTCTGTATTTGTGGCAGGACCCAGCCAGCACAGAGGCGCAGGGGCTGAGCGGCCTCCCGAGAATCCCCCTGCCCAGCAGTTTCTTGGTAGTGTCCTGAGGTCCCGCCGGGGAGGCAGCTGGACTGTGCCTGTGGGGACCTGGGCACTCTCGCCTGTACTATACCGCCCACTTTGTCCTTCTTCCCGGGGAATGAGGGGCGGGGCCACCGGCCTCAGGGTGCCCACAGCCAGCATGGTGCCCACTCTCCTGACCCTCCGGGCTTCCGATCTTTGTCCCAGCGATGGCGTCCGGAGAGCCCCTGCACGTGAAGACACCCATCCGGGACAGCATGGCCCTGTCCAAAGTGGCCGGCACCAGCGTCTATCTCAAGATGGACAGTGCCCAACCCTCTGGCTCCTTCAAGATCCGGGGCATCGGGCACCTCTGCAAGACGGTACAGGATGGGTCAGGTGCCATCGGGGCAGGTGGCAGCCCCCTTCCTGGACAGGGCAGGCCAGGGCTGGGTGGACCAAGAGGAGATGCAGGCTATGGGGCGGCTCCCCACACGCACTGCACGTCCATGTTAGGACGTCCCCCAACTAACGGGTGACTGTGCACGAGGGTCCCTATGGAGCCATCCCTGAGCCAGGCTCTGGAAGGAAGATGCAGAGAGACTAGAGCAGAACAAACCCCGGAGGAGGGGGAGGGGGAGGGGAGAGGAGCAGGAGGGAGAGGAGGGGAGGAGGAGGAGGAGGAGAGAGAGAAGGGGAAGGAGGAGGGAGAGAAGGGAAGAAAGAGGGAGAGGAGGGGAGGAGGAGGGAGAGGAGGAGGAGGAGGAGGGAGAGGAGGAGGAGGAGGGAGAGGAGGAGGGAGAGGAGGAGGAGGAGGAGGGAGAGGAAGGGAGCAGGAGGAGGGAGAGGAGGAGGGAGAGAGGGGAAAGGAGGAGGGAGAGGAGGGGGAAGAGGAGGGAGAGGAGATATTCCAGGGGGAGGGAGAAGCCCAGGCGAAAACGAGGAGGCGGGCCAAGCCTGCTGGGGCACACCTGTCATCCCTGAAACTTGGGAGGTTGAGGCAGGAGGATTGAAAGTTTGAGGCCAGCCTCAGCAATTTAGTGAGACCCTTGCTCAAAATTAAAAGGGCTGGGATGGTAGATTCAGGGCAGAGCTCCCCTGGATTCAATCCCCAGTACATAAAAAAGAAAGACCCGGAGGTGGACCTGACCCTTCCCCTCTTCTCCCCACAGTGGGCTGAGCAAGGCTGTGAGCATTTTGTGTGCTCCTCTGGTAAGTGACCAGCCTCCCCCTCCAGTCCTCCGCTGTGTGTGCTGAGGCCAGGTGCTTCGCCTCTCTGGGCCCTGGGTATCCCAGCTATGATGGGTGGAAAACCTTTGCACTAGCCGGGTTTGGAATTCCAGGAGGAGGCCAGAGGGGTGTGGGGAGGCCCGAGCTGTAGGTGGAGGTCCAGTAGTCCTGGCCCTCGGGCACTAACCTCCAGCCCACCCCTCCTGGCAGCGGGCAATGCAGGCATGGCGGCCGCATATGCGGCCAGGAAGCTGGGCATCCCGGCCACCATCGTCGTGCCCAGCACCACACCGGCTCTCACTGTGGAGCGGCTCAAGGGGGAAGGCGCCATGGTGGAGGTGGTGGGCGAGGTGAGTGCCCACCCTCAGGCTGTTGGGGCACAGGCGGCCGACCAGGCCCATCGCCTTGACTGTCCCCACCCCCAACCTCGCAGACGCTGGGCGAGGCCTTCGAGATGGCCAAGGCACTGGCCAAGAACAACCCCGGCTGGGTCTACGTCCCCCCCTTCGATGACCCCCTCATCTGGTGAGTGCAGTTTGGGGTCACTTGGCACACGGGCGGCCACTCCCGGGTACCACTGGGCTGCGATGCTCGTCACCACGTGAGATGCCGGTTCTCGTGGCTGCGCCCGTGACCTGTCCACGGAGAGCACAGTGGGAGGAAGCCCAGGGAAAGGGGTCCTCCAGTCAGGTGGCCCTCGGGGACCCGGGAGCTGTGTGGAGCTGCCCCGCAGCCCTGGCCACTGGCCTCTCAGCCCTGCCCATTGCCACGTTCGTAGCTGGCACTGGTGGCCAGAGCAAGGCCCCAAGTAGACACAGAGCCTGGCGGCTGGCATCAGGGTGGCACCTAGAGCAGGGGACCAGCTGCCCAGCCCCAGGGCACGTGCTGACCCGCCTGCCAGGGTGCCTCGGGCCCTGCCGGGTGCCTGCAGGAAGCCCAGCGCTGACCTGTCACCGGTGCCATTCCCCAGGGAAGGCCACACCTCCCTCATCAGAGAGCTGAAGGAAAGCCTGGGCACCAAGCCGGGTGCCATCGCGCTGTCCGTGGGCGGCGGGGGCCTGCTGTGCGGAGTGGTCCAGGGGCTGCAGGAGGTGGGCTGGGGGGACGTGCCCGTCATCGCCATGGAGACCATCGGTGCCCACAGCTTCCATGCTGCCACCACCGCGGGCAAGCTGGTCTCCCTGCCCAGGATCACCAGGTGAGAGCCCGAACGTGCCCCCTGGGGGAGCCTCCCTCAGGGTGGCCGGGAGCTGGCTCCTGGGGCCACCCACTGCACAGCGAGGAGCCCGAGGCTTTGGTCACTCGCCCGGGGTCACAGACAGTGAGTGGCTTAAACAACATGGAACTTGATTTCTCTCTCTATGAAAGTCTAGAGGTGGCAAATCCAGAAGCCATTCCAGAAAGTCAGGGACCAGTGTTCCTTGGGCATCTCGCTCTACTGTCTGTGGTATGTGGCCTTATGGTCCAAAATGGTGGCTTGCATGCCAACTATCACGTCCACGCTCCATCAGGCAGGAAGAAGGAAGCAGGGAGAGAAGGTTAGGCGCTCACCTTTAAAGACACAAAGTGCAGCTGTTCCTTGATTTATAACTGCTCCAGGGTGACATCCTGATAAACCGTCATTTGTTGAAAATATTTCAAGTCAAAAGTGAGTCGCATACATCCAACCTGACACCCCACTTAGCAGCACAGTGCCGTAGAGTGGGTGGCCCCTTGCCATCAGCTGACCAGAGCTGTGTGCCACTGTCCGGCACCACAAGAAAGGATGGCGCCTCAAATCCAGGCTCTGGGGAGAGGTCCAAACCAAGATTTCAAGGACAGTTCCCACCGAGTGCGTCACTTCCCCGGTCACACCCCATGGCAAGTCGGGGACATGTGCTTCCGATGACCTGTCACGGGCCAGAACTAGGTCAGGTGGCCGCGCCTGGCTGCAGAGGACGGGGAGATGTCCTTGTGCCAGGCATCCACGGGGCAGCTAGAAGAGAGGGCAGCGCAGGCTTAGCGCGCACGGGGGAGCCTGAGCCCCGGAGGGACCTTTGGGTTTCCCAGCCGGCCTCCCTGGAGGCTGCCGGGCTGGTCTCTGCCGCAGCCAGGTTGGCGCAGAAGCCACTGCTGAGCGCCTACTGTAAACACAGGCTGCCTTAGGGCCACGGGGGCGCCCTCGAGATGCTCCTGGGAGATGAGCTGGGGATAGGACCAGTGGCCACCCAGGGAGGCTGGGAGAGTGTCCACACAGCCTCCAGCAAGGTCCCAGAGTCACATGGACCCTGCTCAGAGCCCCAGCGCTGCCAGTCCCTGGGCATGTGGACCTTGGGCAGGTGGCAGCAGGTTCTGCCTCAACTTCCCGTCTGTTAAGTCAAACCAACAAATAACAGCAGAATTCCATGACGCTGGGGAAGTGCTTGGCCTGATGCTGCAGTGGGCAGGGCCACCTGAGGTCAGGGTCCGAGCAGCCCTGGAAGACGTCCTGGAGGAGGCATCCTTCATCCTGAGCCTTGAAGGACAGGGCAGGAGGGGGCGGCAGGGGCGCGCGAGGATCAGTGAGGACTGACCGGGTGGACCAGAGCGGGGGTCCCGTGGGGGTGGCAGGGTGCTTTTGCTCGAGTGTCCAACACAGATGTACACTACTGACCCCGATCCAAATCATCTGTAGGCAGCAGACCCCGCCGTCTGGGGTCCCTGCCACCTGCTGTGGCTCCGCTCACAGCCACCCTGTCTCCCCCGCCCGTCCCTGCCTCCCTCCTGTCTGCTGACCCCGGCTCCGGCCAGCGTTGCCAAGGCTCTGGGTGTGAACACGGTGAGCGCGCAGGCCCTGAAGCTGTTTCGGGAGCACCCCATCTTCTCTGAAGTGGTCTCGGACCAGGAGGCTGTGGCCGCCATCGAGAAGTTTGTGGGTATGTGCCACTGTCCTCAGCGCACCATGGGGTCCCGTTCACCCCAGTCCCCTGCATTCCTGCCTCCCATCCTCACCTAGAATGCCCCACTCGTGGAAGGTGACCACTTGTGACACCCTCGCCCAGACCATGCCTCAGACCCTCTTTAACCGGGGCTTTGGCGATGGTGATCACTAGTCAATGTCAACCTAGGGCAAAACCCAGGCTCCTGTTGAGGGTGACAGTGGAGGCGCGGCCCAGAACCTTCCGGGGCTCAGAGCCGACTGGCTCGCTGCCCCCAAGTCCCCTCAGCGGCCTGCCGCTCCCCTGGGCCCACCATCCCTCACTGTCCCTGGCAGATGACGAGAAGATCCTGGTGGAACCGGCCTGCGGGGCGGCCCTGGCTGCCGTCTACAGCCACGTGGTCAAGAAACTGCAGGGGGAGGGGAAGCTGCGCGCCCCGCTGCCCAACCTGGTGGTCATCGTCTGTGGGGGCAGCAACATCAGCCTGGCCCAGCTGTGGTCCCTCAAGGAACAGCTGGGCATGAAGAATGGCCTACCAAAGTGAGGGCACCCGCCGTGCCCCTGGCGGGGCCACCCTGGGGCCGGAGTCCCCAAGTCCCACATGCAGTGCCCTGGGCCTGGCCATGAGCCTGGACCTGCATCACTGGCTGCTGGGCCAAGGACCAGGTGGGCAGCAGCAGGTGCAGCCATGGACTGAACCTCGCATCTGTGTGGCTGCTCTGCAGTTGTCCCTGGCTACACCTGCTAGGATGACTGCCTACAAGTGACACCAGGACCCCGGGGGGGAGGAGCTGAGTGCCACTGGGGGCCTGGACTGCAGGCCTATCTCCTTGGCTGCCTGGGGAGGCGACGGGGCTAGTCCAGCCCGAGGCCCTCCGCCACCCTCCCGGAGGCCAGCTACTCCTTTTTCTAACGAGCACTTTTTCACTGGAAAAGACAACTATGTATTTATGACACAGCAACTGTGAGGCTTTCTGTCCCCTGCGGTCTCGCCCCTGCCTCTGCGCCCTGCTGGGTTGTCCCCAGGTGAGGGACCTGGTGAGGGAGCCCGGCTGACCACGGGCCACCTGTGCTGGGGGCAGAACCAGCCTGGAGCAGGGCGCAGAGGCCGGCCTCACCCTGAGTCCAGTCCTCCCCGGGAGTCAGAGCCTCTGGGAGCCCAGTGGTGTGGCCCCACACCCGGGGGTGTCATCTGACACTGGACACAGGTTTCGGGGACAGGGAAGACCTGGGCAGACTTGAAACCAGTGTGTAGACCCTCCAGAAACATGGACCCTGCTCCCCACAAAGGCACACATGGAACAGGAGAGCGTCCCTGGGCTGAGCCCCCTCCATGACCCCGACCCCCTCAGCCAGGGCGGGGCCACAGGGTTGGCTTTTGTGACCCCACATTGTACCCGGGCGCAGGAACACACACCTATGACCCCAGCGACTGGGGAGGCTGAGGCGAGAGGACCCCAAGTTCAAGGCCAGCTACTTAAAGGGCTGGGGAAGCAGCCGGGGGTAGAACACCCAGCACTGGGCAGGAGACCCACGATGTGGACGGCCACACACAGGCACCGGGAGGCCAGTGAGAAGGCGGATCAGCCTTACTGCGCTTTATTCTCCCCGAGCGGCTGTCTCCATCCCGGGGGCGAGCTTCGCGGAGCGGGGAGCCTTGTGGACCTTCTCCTTTAAGGTGCCGGGGCCTCCCACGGTGCTGAGGGTCAGCAGAGGTTGGTAATGTGAAGTGCGAGGCCCCGTGCAGGGACCCTGGTCACAGTCCGGGGGAGTGTCACTGCCTGCTTTACAGACGAGGTGGCCGGGGCTCAGAGGGGAGTCTACAGCCAGCATAGTGGGCCCAGGGGTGAAACTCTGGGGCTGCACGCTATCCCTGTCCGTCCCCGGGCGGGGAGCACAGGAGTCTTGTCACAGGCGGGCCACACGAGGTCAGATGGGAGAGCTGTCCACACTGGTCTGTGCCCCACAGCAGGGCTCAGGAAGGACCCGCACACAGCAGGTGCTTCTAAGGCCCCTGGGACAGCTGGACACGTGGACAGATGGCTAGAGGTGCAAGGTGGAGGCCTTCAGGGGGGACAGGGCATGGGACAGAAGGAGTCCCCAAGGTGGCACGGATGGACAGAGAAGGAAGCAGATGCAGAGAAACAGAGGGGGACAAAGGTGGCACCACCCACTGTGGAGGTGACAACAAGTCCTTTCTGATGGCTGCACAGGAGGGAGGGACAGAGGGATGGCCGTGAGGAAGGACGAGGGCAGGTGGGCTGGCACGTGAGTGACTGGACAGACAGATGGAGGATGAGCAGGCTGCACGGTGGACGCTGCAGGGCCCAGGCCAGGGAGGGAGGTGCTGCCTGCGACCCAAGCGGCACAGCAGCCACAGCCTCTCTAGTTTAATGGCGGCACAGCCTGCAGTCCACCTCCCCTGGCCCTGGAGGGGTGGACACCAGGCAGGAACATGGGGCCACACTCCCACCTGTCCGGGGACAGAGGGCACTCGAGACCCTCCAACCGCCAGTGGCCAGAAACTTTGGTTTTGTTTCAAGTTTCTGTCTTTGAGGAAGCTGTCCAGGGAGCAGGCGAGAGGTGGGGGGCAGGGGCAGCGACACCAGCCAGAGATGTGCCTAGACCCCAGGGCTGCCCCTCACCAGCCCCAGGCCGCTCAGGAGGCAGGAGGCTGGAGGCTGGGCTGGAACAGGCTTCCCAGCCCAGTAGAAGTCCAGGGCCCCAGCCCAGGACTCTCCCTCAGCTTCAGGTGGACAGAGCACGAGGACAGTCCCCGAGGTGGCAGAAACAGAAGCGGGAGGAAGGGAGGGAGATGGCACAGGGGCTGCCACCCACTTTGTGGGGACCCTGAGTCTTTCTAAGTCCCTCGGGTCTGTGCCCAGCCCTCAGAAGAGACCCCAGGACAGGAGTGACCCAGACAGCCCCAGCCCAGCTTGGGGGCAGCGGGGCAGAGTGGCAGGGATGTGGCAGGTCGGGGGCAGCGGGTGCCTATGGGCCAGCAGGGCAGGGGCAGCAGGCGACGGGCTCAGCCCCAGGAGACCTTCAGGGGTGGGAACTTCCAGAGGTCGGGGTGGCCCATGTGCAGCTTGTCACTGAAGGGCGAGGTGCTCCACTGGAAGGGCGGCACCTGGTCCCACGTGGGCCCGCTGGCCGCCAGCAGGCCCAGCGCCTTCACCAGGGACATGTTGGTCACCTGGGGGCAGAGCACGTGGCTGAGCCTGGGCGCTGGGCAGCCCCAGCCCCAGCCCCAGCCCAACCCTAACCTTGAGCCTAAATGGGCCGTCACCTCGACCGCAGCCAAGCCTGACCCCACCCACAGCTGCCCCCCGGCCTCCGCCCCTCCCCAGGCCCGTCCAGCCCCAGGGCCGCACACCTTCACGTCGATGCCCCCGTGCAAGCGCTGGTGCAGGGCCTGGAACGGGTAGGAGCCGTTGGCGGGGTTGAGGTCGGAGCGGGCAGAGATGGCGTTCTCCCCGTTGGGCCGGGGGCTGCAGGCCTCACACAGCGAGAGGGGGTCATGCAGGAAGTTGTTGTACCTGGGGGATAGGTTGCCGCGAGGCATGGTCTTAAGCCCGCTCCTGCCACTGCCGGCCCCTGGGCTCCCGGTGCCTCGCGCACACCCAGGTCTCCGCGCAGGCCCCCCCCCCCCCCCCCCCCCCGCCGGAGTCAGGCCTGCCTGGTCTCGTCCCTGGGACTCAGGTGCCTGAGCCACCTGTCTGCATCAGTCCGGGCCCTCTGAGGGCTTGGCAGCCCCAGGGACAGGGTGCCCTGAGGCGGGCGGTCGGGAGGTCTGCCTGCACCTCCCAGTGCCATGCCTGTCCCAGCACAGGTCACGGCCCAGGGCCCAGGCATCTGCAGGCAGCCACAGGCCCAGGTCGGGGCCACCAACTGCTGCTGGCAAGCACTGTGACCACTGGCGCAGCCGGGCTGTCCCGAGGTGTGACCCCGGGAGGCTCCCCTGACCTGCCCCTGGCCCACCTCATCAGCCGGATCATGGAGTCCATGTCCCTCACCAGGGACTGGTTCCGCTGGAAGATCTGGGCGCGGGGGTTCTTGTCGTAGGAAAACCAGTTCCCGTACTGGGCCACCAGCGCCTGCAGCCCGCTGGCATTGAACACTGTCTCGAAGGCCCTGCGGGACAAAGAGAGTCACCATGACTCTAGTGACCGCGCGAGGCAGGGTCACGGGCCAGGAGGAGGCAGGCGGTCACTCCAGAGCAGTCACGACGACCCAGGAGCCGGGACCCAGAGGGGACGGCTCTGCTCTGGGTGGCTGGCAGGGTGGCCGGGCTGGGGTGCCACAGTCATGGCTGGGACCCTGGCCCCACCACCCAGCTCTGCAGCCTGCGAGGGCGGGCGCCGTCCCGGAGCCTTGGGTTCTGCACCCCTGAAACCAGAGATGATGGCCCCCAGGCCCAGGGTCACCAGGACCAAACGAAGCAGTGAGTGCTGGGAGTGGCAGCTGCCACCCAGCTTGGGCACACCCCTGGGTTGGGCCACCCCGCGCCACCCTTTGGTGGGTGCCACACAGGGAGCCGGGCGCTGCTCACACGCTGCTGACCAGGTCACTTAACTACACCATGAAGCCCTCAGGACCTGCCTGGTTCCTGCTGTGGCGCTAACACCACTAGGGAGGGCCTGGCCCTGGCGCCTAGGGAGCGGACAAGCGGAGGAGAACGGGCGGGGCACCTACGGGATGTTGTAGCTGGCCCAGTAGGTCATGTCGTAGAGTTCCGAGGTCTTGTCGGCCACCACCACCAGGCCCCTGGGCAGGACAGAGCGGAGGTCGTCAGGAGGGGTCCCAGAGCAGGCCTGGCTCAGGGCCCCGGTCCCCCTCCTGCCGGGGCCAACCTGGCTGCACCAGCCGCCCCTCCCGTCTCGGGGACCCCAGCCTTCCCACCAGGCTTGCCACCAGGGCCTCCACCCAGGCGGGGCCTCCACCCAGAGGTACTCACGGGAGCTGCTCCAGGACTGTGAGCACCCTGCCCCCTGGGCTGGTCTGTCCGGGGACAAAGGCCTTGTAGTCCACGATCATCCACTGGTTGTTGTACCTGGAGGGCCCAGCAGGGGACTGAGCGGCCTGGGACACCGACCCAGCCCCTGCCCAGCCCCCCGGGGCCACTGGCCCTCACCCTGGCACTGCAGTGAGGCAGGTACCCACAGGCGCTCAGGCCCCTGCTGCTGGCCTGCTGGGAACGGCCCTCAGCTACCCGTCAGGACAAAGGCCAGTTCCTCTGCCGCGTCTGCACTCCCGGCCACCCACGTGCCCCCTTTCCAGAGCCCTTCCTGCCCTGCCCCCAGGGCCCCTCCCTGAGCCAGGAGCCCGTGGGGGCCGTGTCCTGCCCTTCCTAAGCCTCGGCCTCCCCGGCCTCCCGGTGCAGAACAGGAGAGGCCTCTGGCATCTGCCAGCCCCTAGGTCCCTGGGGTCTGTGGCGGGAGGGCTGTGTCCAGGGTGGGGCCACGGCCCAGAGCCACTCACGTGCCACTGTTGAACCTCTTGAAGACGTCTGTCCAGATGGCTCCGTCCAGGGCCAGGCGGTTGGCCACCAGGTTGCGGATCCACTCCAGCACGCAGCCCTCGGGCTGCACATACTTCCACAGGGCTGCGTTCCTGTTGCCGATGGTGGTCTCCAGCGCCACCTGGGGGGCACAGGGGCCGCCTCAGGGGCAGGGCTGCAGGGACCCTGGCCCTGGGCAATAGCAGTCCCTGGTCTACTGATGCGCAGGACGGGGCCTGAGCCTGGGCAGGGCCTGGGCAGTCCCACAGCTCTGCCCCAGCCAGATCCCAGCCCTGCCGCATGCCCCCGCTCCTCACTGCTTCTCCCTACCTGCGCTGGGGAGTCAGGCTGAGGAGCCGGCCCAGCCCGGGAAGCCCAAAGTGCTGCTCCTGCGGACCCCTCACCAAGTGCTCAGCTCTCCCTGAGACAGTGCCCCATTCCCAGGCCAGCCTCAGGGAAGGCTGATGGCCTGAGGCCATGAACCTGGACCCAGGCCCAGAGCCCGGGGGCCGTGCAACAGAGAATCCTCGGCCTGTCCCAGCCCGTCCTGGAGCCAAGGGCAGACGCCCACCCGGCCTCCAGCTGCCTCCTGCCCCTCTCCAGGGACCCTGCTCCGTCCTCTGCTTGTTCTGTAAACAATGCCTTCTTCTTGGTGGTTAAAAATAAAACTCATGTCGCTATGAAATCCCAGAGACTCAGGAGGCCGAGGTGGGAGGACCCCACGCTTGAGGTCAGCCTCAGCAAATCTGGAACCATCTCAGGAAATAAATAAGTAAAAAGGGCTGGGGATGTGGCTCAGGTGGAGCACCCCAGGTGCCACTGCCAGGACCAGGACAAAGAAACAGACCACCGCCCTCCAGGCCCTTCCCACACTCAGAGCAGGCCTGGAGGAGGCCAGGAGTCCCCGCCTGCCCTCCCAGGACTGGCACCTGGGCCCCGAGGGTGCCTCAGAAAGCTCTCTCCTGGCCGGTTGCCCTGGCAATCCAGGCACGAGCCTTGGCGAGAGGTGCCAGGGACAGATTTCTAAACAGGGCTGGGCGCCAGCCAGGGAGACAGCACAAACAGCTCACCAACAACAACAGCTATTCAGAAACCCGCCGGGCTGCGGGGGCTTCGCCCACAGAGAGCAAGACGAGGGACAAGGACAGTGGGGGTGAACCTCCGCCGGAAAAGCAAACCAGGTCGCCAAGGTCAAGGGCATCTCCAGGGTCCCCAGGACCAGAGGCTCCCAAGGACCTGGGCCCCAGGACCAGTGGCTCATGAGGACTGAGCCCCCACACAGTCCAGCCCAGTGAAGGCTTTGGGGACCCACATTTAACAAGCCTTGATGAGGGGCCAGCCAGCAGCACGGGAGGAGGAGCCAGGGCCTAGGGTGCAGGTAGGGCTGCAGCCACCCCACCCTCCATCTCCGCTCTCACTGGGGCCCAGCCACAGGGTGCAGCTCAGTCACCGGTCACCACATCCAAGCGAACACCTCCTGTCCCAGCTCAGCAGTGAGACACAGTGAGACACATCCCCAGGGAGGGGACACAGGTGACTGGTGGGACTCACCAGCTGGCTGCCCAGGATGTAGAAGTCGTCACAGGAGAAGATGGTTCCGGGGTAGGATGAGAAGACCATCTGATTCCCAGGAACCAGGAGGGCGTCCTCTGGGGAGAGAGCGGCCGGCGCTGGTCAGGCAGGCCCTGCAGGGACGTGGGTCTCAAGGGGAGCAAGCCGCTCCCACCCAGTCACTTCTGTCCTTTAGCAAATGAGGAGACTGATATAGAATGCACACGTGGGCTAGGCAGGAGCTCACGGTGGAGGCTCGCCTAGCGCAGGAGGCCTGGGCTCCACCCCAACACCATAAGAAACTAGTAAGAGCAAGCAGGAAAAGCCACCACTGACAAACATGTTTATCCCTTTCTCTCTGTGTGCACTTTGTTTACTGGCATCTCGCTTTTTAATTATAAGAGGGTGGCCATTAAGAGGGCCAGACCCAGAAAGGAGATGCTGAGTTTCCCTGGGACAAGTCACTCAGCCTCTCTGAGCCTCAGTTTCCTTCTCTGCAAAATGGGAATACCCCCCCACTGCAGCCCCACCCAGGGGGCCGTAAGGGTTCAAGTCACAAGCTCAGGGTCCCCATAAGTCAACTGTTAGAAGCAGTAAAGGGGTCGACAGGTGGCAACGACCCAGTATCCACCAGCTGGTGGGTGGGGGAGCCACGGGCCACCCACACCATGGAGTACTACTCAGCTACAAAGAGGACCAGAGCACCAACACCCGCCACAATGTGGAGACCATAACACTGTGGGAAAGAAGCCAGCCCCAGGAAGGTCACACATGGCGACCGGCTGCCTGGTGGGCACAGGGTCTCCTGCCAGAGGCAAGGAAAATGTTTTGGAACCAGATAGAAAGGACAGTGCACTTGAAGATGGTTGGGTTTACATTATGATTTTTGCCTCAATAAAAAAATTTCAATAAAAAATAAAACTACAACAAGAAGTTTTAAATAAACTGGTTAAGGGCTTAAATAAAGTTCTAGAACACACAAACTAACCTACTAAGAAAGGAGTCAGAACAGTGGCCGCCTGGGGAGGGCAGCGAGGGACAATCTTGGGGACCTGGGGAGCATCCTGGGCAGTGGAGGGGTCCTGTATGGCTGCAGGAAGCCGCATGGCCACAGGCGTCTGTACAAACCCAGCCACGCTCCCACTCCCGGTGCACAGCTACAGTGTGCATCAATGAAGTCAGGCCAGAAGCCCAGCCTGGGGGTCACTATCTCCAGTCAGAAGGCAAGCTTGGTGAGAACAGTGACCCCCCTGGGGCCATGCCGTGGCAGAGACGCCCTTGCGGCTGGCGGTGGAGCTGGTCTGCTGAGTCTGACCCCGTAAACCACATTTTAGGCCCCGCTGCTCGGACCAGGGCTTGCCCACCCCCGCTTCTCGGCTCTGCCCCGCTGGTCCACTCCTGGCGGGCCCAGCTACAGGAGGAGGCGCACAGGCTGTGGGTGGCTCACGGGACTACCGGTGGCAGTGTCGGGTCAGCAGACACTTCAGGGCAGTGAAACAGGTCTGTACAATGGCCCAGGGGTAGGCACGTATCCCCAGGCACGTGTCAAGCCCATAAAACTGCCCAATGCCCCGATGAGAACCAATGTATGGATCCCTATCCATTGCTGCGACAAACAGCACAGGTGTGCGGCCAATCGTGAGGTTGGGGGGATGCGGAGCTCCCTAGGGTGTCCATTCCCGATGCACCCCAGCCTCAGGCTTCTCTTAAACATGCGTCTATTAATTTTAGAACAGATACATACACAAAACACACCCCCACGAGTCCAGCCCTATCCAAACCACACTGTGACCCACCGCAGCCTTGGCCCAGGCGGGGGACAGGAGCCCCAGCCCTCACCTGGGACCGCTGAGCTCACCTCTTGCTCACAGAATAAAGTGAAGCACAACAGAAAATCAAAGCACCTTGTTTTCAAATCTAGGAAAGCAAAATAAAACATAACCACGTGTTCTCAGAAGTGAGGGGTACTGAAGCGAGGTGTTCTATGGAGTTTTCTGACATTCTATGACTTTAAAGAAATTATTTAAAATGGGGCTAGCAGGGCACAGTGGTGCCCGCCTGTCATCCCAGATCTCAGGAGGCTGAGGCAAGAGGATCACAAGTTTAAGGCCAGCCTCAGCACCTTAGCCAGACTCTGTCTCAAATAAAAAATAAAAAGGCTGTGGGCGCAGCTCAGTGGGGAACCCCTGCTTAGTATGAACAGGGCCCTGGCTCAACCTCCAGCACCGAAAAATCAAATTAAAAAAACCCCAAGATGCGCTCTTGGAACTGCACTGGTGACCCTGTGTGTATGGCAGGGGCTGCCTAAGCCCCCTTCCCGCGCCCCGCCCCTCCCGCGCCCCGCCCCTCCCGCGCCCCGCCCCTCCCGCGCCCCGCCCCTCCCGCGCCCCGCCCCTCCCGCGCCCCGCCCCTCCCGCGCCCCGCCCCTCCCGCGCCCCGCCCCTCCCGCGCCCCGCCCCTCCCGCGCCCACCTACCCTGGGGGCCCTCCCGGAACTGGAACGTGTACTTCTTGATGATGCGTAGCATGTGCTGGTAGGAGTTCCAGGTGTTGTGGGCCACCAGGAGGTCACGCTGGCCGGGCAGCAGCTTGATGAGGGCGGAGCAGGACCCTGAGCCAAGGACGGCCCTGGTCCTGGTCTTGTTCAGGGCGGGCTCTAGATCTTCCAGGTCCCCAGAGATCTGCAACAGGCTGAGGAGGGATGGGGCGGGAGGTGAGCAGCCTGCTGCGCCCGTCACTGGCCAGCCAAGGCTCTGGAGGTCAGCTGGCCAGTCCGAGGCTGTGAAACGAGAAAGGCCGAGCTGGCGATGGACCTGCCATCTGTGAGGCGTGCCCTTCCCCACCCTGCGCACCTGGGGGCACTTACAGGAACCCCAGGGGCTTGATGGTGAACTTCCCAGTTGGGAAGGACACGCGGCCTTCATAGCTGTCTTCCAGGCCCTTCAGCTGCAGCAGGGTCAGCCGCACCTGGGGGGCGAGGATGGGTGCCGGGAGGTGAGGCCCGCACCCCTGCAGTGGGGCCAGTCTGGGCTGCAGCCAGAGCAGGAGAGGCCAGCCCTGCCCCTCCCTGCCAGGCCCTCTCCTGCCTTCCATGAACTGTTGACGTCCACACCTGGTGCACCCCACATCACCCCTGCTTAAAAGCCCAACTCAAAAGCCACCTCTTGCAGGAAGCCTCCCAGCCCCCATCCCACGGCCACTGTCCCTGCTCCAAGCTTAGAGTTGCTGCCTCGGGAAACCTGGCCCCCGCGGCCAAGGCTCCTCCCTGCGGCAGCTCTGCCTCGGCACCCTGTGACCACAAGCACCCTGTGACCATGGGCCTCACGGGGCCTGGCATGTGTGAGCACTCCCCAGGCCCTCAGCAAGCACAGGCAAGATGGATGGACGGTGGACAGACAGACGAATGAGGGGAGGATGGATGGATGGACGAGGGCTGGATGGCTGGAGGAGGGAGCAGATGGGTGATGGACAGGTGGACAGATGAGAGGTGAGCGGATGGGTGACAGATGCACAGAGAGGTGGTGAAGTGGTGGGAAGGTGAACAGATGGATGGACAGACTGACAGAGGGTCGGGAGCGATGGGCTGGGGTGGGTGGGTGGGCACAGGAGCCATCCTAGCAGTCCAGCAGGTGGGTGGACACTGAGAAGCTGAGAGAAGGACATGGTGCAAACGAGGCCCACAGTCTGTGGCAACAGTCCTGACGGCCACGTTACAGAGGGCTGCCCCCTGGCGGCTTTATAGGGAAGCCACCGTGTACTGACTGCACTGAGGATGTAGTCAGCAGCCAGCAGGGCGGGTGCCCCCTGGCCTTGCCCTCTCCATGAGCTGCCTGCCCAGCAGCTCCCGGGAAGGAGAAGGTCCCTGTGCCCAGCCTGCCTGGGTGCTCAGCCTCCCCGCCTGCCTCCTCCTGCTGCTGTCACCGTCCCCAACACGATCACCCTGTCCAGAGCCTCCCCGTGTGAAGGAGAACAGGGTGCTGGCCATGAACCAGGTCTTTTCTTCTTTGACAGGAGAAAAGCAGGCTGGGCTGGACAGGGGGCCAGGACAGACAGCAGGCGCGCCATCAAGGGAACGACGGAAGGACAGGCAGGTAGAGTGGGACAGATGGGGGGACGGGGGCCAGGTAGGGGGTACTCAAAGGCTGGGCAGGCAGCTGGGCTGGCCCCGGAACGCAGAGCCCGGCAGGCCCACCTGGTGCCAGTACCCGGAGTCCTGGTCCCACTGCATCTCCCGCTGCATCCACTCGAGGTTGGCCTCCAGGAAGTGCTTGAGCTTCTCGCAGTAGCCGACCTCGTACTCGAAGGGGCCGCAGTAGTTGACCACGGTGTTCATCCAGTGCATGTAGATGAGCTGCGGGGAGCGGGCGCTGAGGGGCCGCAGGCTCCAGCCTAGGGGCCCGTCCTCCCATGGCCTGCCCTCCAGGCCCTTCCTCCAGGGGCTTCGGCAGGCAGAGCCTAGAGCACCTGGGGACCCAGCCATCTGCCTCCTGTTCTGAGCAGCTCCTCTCTGTCCCCAGCACCGAGGCCACAGCAAGGGACAATGCAGCCCCCTCTTGGCGGATGCTGTGGCGAGCCTCAGGAAGGCCTGGGCTCCCCTGTTGGTGGGGACCCTGAACCTGGCGCTGCCTGTCACCCCAGCTGATGCAGCACTGAGCCCTGGACAGTGAACGACCTGCCGGCATACTACAGGAGCTCCGCGAGCCAGCCAAGACCAGTCCAGCCAGCCACAGTGACCAGTCCATCCCGCCAACCCCATGGCCGAGGTCTGCCAGCCTTGTGGCTCTTGGGTGGCTGGGTGCCCACAGCCATGCTCACAAGCCCGCTCCAACCTCAGGGCTCCGTGGCCGCCATCTCTGCTGCTGTGGTCTGGAAGCTGGAGGTCCCCAAGGCTTGACCCCCAGGGGCTGCTGGGGGTAGAGCCTGCAGGAGGTGGGGCCTAGCGAGAGGCTTAGGTTACTGGGGGCATGTCCTTAAAGGGGACCCCGCGGCCAGGGCTTTCCTCTTCCTTGTCCGCATCCAGCTCCCAGGTGGGCAACCTGTGCCCACTGCACCTGCCACAGCTCCCAGGCCCCTTCCATGGCCCTCAGACCCCTGCTGGGCCAGACACACTGGGCCTGCCCAGTGGTGGTCGGATGTTCTGGCCCCGTGAGCCAGCACATAAACCTTTCTCACCTCTTGCCCACCTAGGTGCGCTCCACCTCGGAGCCCCCCCCTCAGTCCCCCGCCACCTGTTAGCTTCATAGTTACCAACTTTAGTATGATTTATTTACTTACTTATTCATTTATTTATGATACCGAGGATGGAACCCAGGGGTACCATGAGCGACGTCGCCAGTCCTTTTTATTTTTTAAAAAAAATATTTTATTTTTATAAATATTTTAGGTGGACACGTGTCTTTATTTTACTTTATGTGGTACTGAGGGTTGAACCCAGGGCCTCACACTCTACCTCTGAGCCCCAGCCCCTATTATCATTATTTTTGAGAGAGGGCCTAAGCTGCTGAGGCTGGCCCAGAACTCGCAACCCTCCTGCCTCAGCCTCCCAAGGCTCGGGAACAACCTGGCCCAGGTGTTCTGCTGCAGTGATGTGCAGCCCGCACGCCTACCTCCCGGCGGAGGCACAGGCAGCCCAGGTAGGGAGGAGGCGCAGGGCTGGTGGCCCAGGGACCTGGCCTGTCGCCGTCCCACTGGAACACACCCTGACCCATGTCCTGCTCACCCTGCACGGCCTGGCCAGCACCCCGCCCCTCCCTGTGTCCTTCTGAGCTGTCCTGTGCACGGCAAGCCAACCAACTGTAGGTTTCTAAACAGTGAGTGTCATGGTGTGGGCAGTGTCTCCACAAAGCAAGGGGGACGGAGCATGGCAGCGGGCACTCGGAGCCGCGGGCTGGGCTCGGGTGGCATGGGCCGCTCCTGAGCATCGGTCGGGTGTTCACTGTCTGATCGGGCTGTGGAAACTGGCGCTATGTCACGTATTTCTCTGTAGGCGTCAAGGAATACATGGTGACTCAGCCCCAGGTGACACTGGCTGGGCAGGGCCAGGGCAGCTGGGACCCAGGCCTAGCGTGGCCTTACCTCCTCGGACACGGAGGCCTCCACCACGCCAGCTGCGTAGGCCTGCAGGCTGTCATTGTAGCTGCCACTTGTGCCCAGCTCCAGGAAGGCCCACCTGGGGAGGGAAGGTGGGGACACTGGTTGGTGGCAGGGACCCTGCAAAGCTGCCCACAGCCAGATGCGGCCATGTCCAGCTCTGATTCTAACAGGACGGACAAACAGCTCCTGGCCAACAACAGCCCATCAACTTCCCCGGTGCCTGGCAAGGGTCTCGCCCCGTGGCACTTGTACATGACAACCCCACAGTCCTCAAGACGGGCCACGTGGCCCAGCCACAGGGAGGAAAGTAAAACACAGTTGCACGGGGCTGCGGCAGACACCCTGCAGCAGACACCCTGCGGCCTGGAGCCAGGGATCCCTGGACCTGGGCTCCATCACGCCGCATGGCTTGCTCTAGCAAATGGGACATGCTCGGCAGTGACAGGGTTAGCCTTCAGGAGGATCCCGTGTTTCCACCTGCCCTTTGCTGCCTCTGTCCCTGCCACTGTGGCACATGCCCCAGCCAGCCAGCTCGTTCCAGAAATATGAAACACAAGCAGACTGTACCTATAGCATGAAGCAGGTGGCCCCAGCCGCCCTCAGACCTGTGGGGGTCAGGGGCTGTTGGCCTAAGCCCTGGGCCTGGGGGCTAGTTTGTTACACAGACTGGTGCCCAGCGCTAGCTGGTGCACAGGGTACCAAAGGCGGAGGCAGGATGGCTCCAGGCAGGCTGGGTCCTGCTCCTCTGGCCCACTCCAGGTCACCCGAGGGCTTCGGGAGGAAGCAGGTTCCAGCTAGGAAGACGGGGACAGGGCCCGAGCCCCAGGCACCACCCATGGTAGGTCACTCCCTCGCTGTGGTGAACACTCCTGCAGGCCCACGACCCGGGGTTTCCTTTCCCTCTGTTTTGTTGTACTGGGGACTGAATCCAAGAACCTGCGCAGCTAGGCCAGCGCCCCACCCCCGAGCCACACCTCCAGCCCCCATTACCTCATCTAAAATGAATCCTAGCATAACCATGTCACCTCTGTAACTAGGGGAACCTCTCTTTCTCTGTTTACTTATTTATTGCAGTACTGGGGACTGAGGCATTCTGCCACCAAGCTACAGCCTCAGCCCTTTCTTAAAATTCAGAGACAGCTCAGTCAATTACCCAAGCAGGCCTTGAACTTGGGATCCTCCTGCCTCAGCCTCCCAAGTCCCTGGGATCATAGGTCTGGCCACGGTGCTGGGCTAGGGGTGCACAGGGTTAAAGGTCCTAAAGAAACTTGAGGAGCCCACAAGACAAGGAGAGCAGAGGACTGGGAGCAGCCGGAGCAGGCGCAGCCCAGACCCGCGAGGCCCTGGGCTCCACCCAAGCACCACAGAACAGAGCGCGAGGGTTCACACAGGACTGTCTCAGGGGGAAGTTGACTGAAAGGCCACCAGACAGCTCCAGGACAGAAATGGATAGGAAAACACTCAAAATACCCACGCCCCACACCTTCAGGCAAAGATGAGTGACATTCAGTCCTGGCTCCAAGAAGCTCATGGTGGGGACATGAGAACAGTTAAAATCCCCACAGGGGAACTATCACAATCAGGAAAGAAAGACAATGCTGTCCGGGTGCCCTGAGGAGGGGCACTGCCACGTGGAAAGTTTTTAAAAAAAAAAAAAAAAAAGCCTAAGCTCTGAATGTTCCAGAGCAAAAAAAAAGAGCCGAAGTCTCTTGCCTGAGGTCACACAGCAAGTAAGTAGCAGAGTAGGGACAGATTCTAGAGCTGTGCTCCGAGCCTCTACCTTGGCCGGGCAACCGAATCCTGGAAGGGGGCATTGTTTGTCAGCTGGTTGGTTTGGGAAGGGGTTTGGCTGGGCTGCTCAGGCTGGCCTCCATCTCTTGGGCTCATGTGATTCTCCTGCCTCAGCCTCCTGAGTTTCTGGGATGAAGGGCCCACACCACAGGCTCAGCTCAGACGGGACACCGTTCTCACCAGAGGAAGCCAAGAGCCATGACCCTCAAGGCTGGTGGCTCACATACAATGATGGATAATGACCGAGAGACTCGAGGGACAGGAATGAAGGTTTTACCTTTCAAGGAGGGTGAAGGACAAGAGCTTGGGCTCCTGTCCCCAGCTCCTCTGGATCCCCAGCAGCCCTCCCCCAGCCTCTGGGACAAAGATCCACCTCCCTAAGCCCTGGTTTCCTCCTCCATGAAATGGTCAGTGACTCCCACTTCAGAGGACGGTGTGGCACGTGACAGGAGGGGACACTTGCTCACTCAGTGTGTCTCATGGAGAGTGTGTGAGGGCCGGGGAGGCGAGGGCTGGGTGAGCGAGGAAGATCAGGTGCCCAGTGGCAGACCTGCCTCATGAGCCGGGAGGCTGCAGGCGAGGGGCGTCAGAGCGAGTCACAGAAAACCCCAAAGCCACTCGAGGCGAGCACCGTGGGCAACCTGGGGCCAGGGACGGCCTCCGCTGACCATGGCCAGAAGCTGCCGCTTCGAGGCAGACTCGGGGCCATAGCACCGCCACCCTGGAGGCGGAAGGGCCCAGGAATTCCGCCTGTGACCGGGTCCTCGCACAGCCCTGCCAGTGGGGACCAGGGAGGGCGGGCCCTGCACACAGTGCTTCTGCCCAAGCTGAGGAGAGCCAGCCGCCGACAAGTCCCTCACCAGGGCCTGGCCCAGCCCAGCCCAGCCGTCCACCACGCGGCTGGTTTCCAGGACCCTGCAGCCACTGCCACGTGAGGAGGGAGGACAGTGTCAGATAACATTAGAGAGAGGGAGGGACCAGGGCCACAGGACACGTGTCCACACCCCTGTGCGCAAACGCGGGCGCGGCTGTGTCAGGGTCCGCGTCTGCAGTGAAGATTCTGGAAGAGGTTCTTCTAGAGAGGACGGAGGCCCCCGTTTCCCGTGCCCTGTGCCACCCTTCAAAACCGCGAGTATTTTTACTCCCAGGGAAAAAAGTTCAACCAGGGCGAGGAAGGTGGCTGGGGCAGAGCACCCGCCCAGCACATGCAGGGCCCCGGGTCCGCCCCGGACTACAAAAAAACAGAAAAAATATCTAAAAAAAAATATGTACTTTCATAATAATCCCAAAAACATTTAAAAAGAAGGGCAGCGTGGGTTCCTTCAAGCTGGGCAGGAGGATGAGACCCCGTCTCCTGGGTCCCATGGGCCACAGCAGGGCATCTGTCACCGCCCTTCGAGGGAGCGACGCTCTCACTTCCTCCTGCCTCTGCTGCAAGGTGACCACTGGTTCCAACTGCGTGGGAGCCACATGTCCTGACTGAGCCTCAGAAAACCAAATTGGTGGCATTTGTGCAGCAACCCTTGTCCTTCCAGAAAACCACGGTGGGAAAGGTGCCCGTCTGTGGCTGAGGAGCCCCTGGGCTGGCTGGGGCCCCACGCCCACTCCAGCCCCTTCTCCCAGGACCCCACAAGGCCAGCACTGCCTCACCCCCGAGACGAGGCCACAGACATGGTCGCCACGGACACTGCCCCCACGGGGACTTGAAATGGACCCTGACGCTGACTCTGAGTCTCTGCTTCCTGCCACCCTGCTCGGCCTTTCCAGCCTCAGCTTCCCCATCTGTGACATGGGACAATGGCGACGGCCTCTGGAATTCCTGGTGGCGCTGGGCCCGTTGACAACTTTCAGAAAGATGACCCGGCCACTGGCCAGGAGAACGTCTGAACGCTCCAGTAACTGCACGAACTTCCAAAAACCACCCTCCTTCCAGAGAGCGCATCCTTCCTGTTCGCTTTCTTCTCAAACTGCTGATCTTCTTGGATAAACAGAGGCAGAAGCCAACACGGATCATGTCTGCCTGGTGGTTAGTGTCCTTTGATGACCGGATTCACACGTTGACAGCCCTGATGGCATTCCTTAACCGTTTCTCCTTCTGGAAGATCTACGGGCCATACTGACTCTATCTCAGGAGCAGCTGATGTCTCTAAAACAACTCCAGGCTCCAACCAAGGCACCCTCTAGACGCTCGGTCGGAAACATCAGCGCTCAACACTCTTCGCCCTGGGGGGATCCAGTGAGGGGAGGGACATATCAGGCTGGCCGGGCAGAGTGCTGGCCAGGCACAGCGGTGCGTACCTGCAATCCCAGCCACTCCGGAGGCTGAGGCAGGAGGATCACACGGTCCAGAGCAGTTCCAGGGCAACGGTCTCAAGATGAAATAAGAAGGGCTGGGGAGGCACTCAGTGGCCGAGAGCCCCTGTGTTCAATCCCCAGTACACAGAAGAAAAGCCATGGGACGAGCAGGGGTCCCAAAGGCCTCCCATGGCCACCTGATGTGCTCCAGCACGCGGGATGCCTCTGGTGGAGTCATCGCTCCCTCATTACTCGCGATGGCACAGGCTGGCCTATCATGACTTTCCAAAGACACGGCTTGTCCACACTCCTGGCTGGCTTTTCTCGCTGGCTGGGGTCGTGGAATGTTGGCTGGTTTGTTAGTTTCTTAGCACGTTCAGCTCAAGGTGATTTACTCCAAGCAGCCTTGAGGATAAGGCACTGGCTGGGGGGGAACAGATCAGGGAGGAAGGACAGCAAAGGCGGAGGGTGCCACTGTCCAGACCCACACCAGAGCCAGCTGCGGCAGACTGCCACCAGCGCGGCATCTCCGACCTCCAAGCATCGAATCTTAAATGGTTCTAGGCTGCGTGATGGGCACAGGTGCAAAGTCAGGCACAAATACAACCGAAAAGGAGGGGGATTTACCCTGAAACCCCAGGATCCTGGGAGACGAAATCCCCAGAAAGGGAGGTTCATGCCTGGCCGGGGGACATCTCTCTCCAAAACAGTGAAATCAGAGATTCTGCGGGCTGGGAGCAGGACGCCCCAGAGGTGTTTCTTTCATCCTGCCTCTGAGTCTCCAGAGGCTGTCTCTGAGGACCTCAGTTTCATGCCTGTACGATGCCCCCTACACTGCAGTCCCCACTGCTGGCGAACTCGTGATGGAAGGGGCCCCCTGAGGCCGAAGCCTCCTGCTGGGCCGTCCTTCCATGTCTCCTTCCTGGCTGGTATCCAGGCAGAGGTCTGGCATGCCCTCTTGGCTCTACCAAGCAGGCCAATAATGTGTGAGTCATCAGAGAATGGGTCACCAGATCCCAGAGTCACAGTGGCCCCCGTGGCTAGTCACAGAGCTCTAGTTCCCTCCATAGACGTCAACTCCATCTGTGTCTCCTCTCCCGGGAGCCCTGCCAGCTCAGCCCCAGCAACTCCTGTGTCTGCAGAACCTTCCAAGGGCCACCAGCACAGAGTGTCCTCAGCATCCTGTCTCCCCAACACCTGAAGGGACTGCAGATGCCAGGACACTGGGTGGGTGGGAGAGGGCCATGCCTGCTGTAGGGGACAGCATTGTCTGAGCCCTGGGCTGTGGCCAGGCAGGACATACAAAGGGTTCCCTGCGACTCCCCAGAGAACCTGGATCCAGGACCTGGGCCAGCTGACAAGGCTCTGAGGTCCCCATTCCCACCAACTCTTCCAGCATCGTCTGTCCCACTTAGAGAGGGGCCTGCTCACCTCTCTACTGCCCCTAAGGCCAGGCACCAGAAGGAGGGAATACAAACAAGCCCCTGTGCAGGCCTGAGAGGGGCATCACACAACTCCCCAACCAGGGATGGCTTCAGAATCTGGGCCACAGATGGTGACATGGGAGCCCAGACAGGCAGAGGAGCCAGGGGAGAGACCTCAGAGTGACAGCCTGCATCCCAGCAACCAGGAGAACCGTCATGACTTCAAGCACAGCCCTTGGCTCCAGAGTATCTGGCCAAGGACCTCCCGGGACCAGGACACAGCAGGGGGAGGGGCAGAGCCCTAGTGGAGGTCCTATCTGCATCTATGTCACCGGAGGAAACTTCTGCTTTCCCAGTGGCATGGAACCAGGCTCCACCCCGCTGTCCTGGTTCTGGAAGGGAGGCAGGGGGCCGGCACCCATGGAGCAAGCCACAGGTAAGCAAGTGTGAGCTAGACAGACCCCTGGAAGCTGTTGCCAAGTTCAAGCCTGGGGACACGGTGCTGGCCTCTGTGGTGGGAACTGAAGTCTGGAGAAGAGAGCTAATCCCTGTGACTCCAGTGGGGACAGGAGTTACTGTATTACCCACCAGCCATGACTTGCTCCAGATGCAGACACTGTGGCCTCTGGGGGACAAAAGTATTGTCACCTCTGGCTGGAGGCAAGTGACTGGCCCCCGTGAGGTGAGGGGTGTTGCACCAGCCCCTCCCAACCGGGGAGCTGGTCCGGAGGGCGATGCTGCAGCCTTAGAGGGAAGAAGTGACTCCCAGGGAGACAGCGGCGCTGTCCCCGCAGGCGGACGGCCCCAGGGACAGGCAGGCCTGGCGCCCGGGGCTGGCCCTGAGCGGGGGCGGGCCAACCCTTACCCGGTCTCGTGGATGGCGTTGGTGAGGTTGGCCCAGGCCACGGCCTCGGGGTGGCGACCGTCCACCAGGCGCAGCTGGCCCGACGCGGCGTCCAGAAGCACCGAGCGGCTGCGGGAGGCGGGTGGTGCCGGTCTGTGGCCCTTCCAGCGGTCCCCCGGGGCCGGGATCGCGCCCGCCAGGCCGCTCAGGAACAGCCCGACCAGCAAAGCCAGCACCAGGGCCAGCGCCAGGGCCCGCGTCAGCGCCCGGGCCAGGCGGCCGCCGGGGGACCCGTACATCGGGGCCACCATGACCGCGCGGAGCCCCCCGCAGCAGCCTGGATCACGTGACTGCGCTCCGCGGGGCGGGGCCTGGCCCTCGGTTTCCGGGGAGGGCGGATCCTAGGGGTTAGGGGCGGGGCCTGGGTTAGGGGCGGGGCCTGGGGTCAGGGGCTGGGGCCTGGGATCAGAGGCTGGGGCTTGGGGTTAGGGGCGGGGCCTTGTTGGGGCGGGGCCTGTGGTAAGGGAGCGGAGCAACCCTCAGCCCCCGCCCTCCCTACGCCTCCTTCCCTGTGAAAATGCGGCGTTGCACACTTCCGCCTCAGCGCTTTACTTTGCAAATTTTCAAACCTCAAGAAAAGTTGCAAGGATAAGAAATAGTCTTATACCCGCCACCACTTGCTGGTATCTGGTCACATCGGATTAACCTCTCTATATAGTTTCCCTGAATTATTTGAGACTTCATTGAAGACACAGTGACCTATCAACCCTGCAGGCTGCAACATGCTTTTCCTAATAGCAAAGACATTGTCTTACATAATGACAATACCATTACAGTCGGTCCTCCAGGGAGTCAACCCAAGGATGGAAGATATGAAAAAAAAGGGGGGGGGGTGGCGCACTCCTGTCATCCCAGCCACTCAGGAGGCTGAGGCAGAAGGATTGCAAGTTCGAGGCCAGCCTCAACAACTTAAAGAAACCCCTGCCTCAAAATTAAAAATAAAAAGGGCTAGGGGTGCAGCTCAGTGGTAAGAGAGCCCCTGGGTTCAATCCCCAGTACCCCCCCTCCAAAAAAAATTGTACTACAGATTACACATGTATAGAATTTTTTCTCTTGCTATTATTCTCCAAACAATACAATATAGCTATTTATATAGAATTTATATTGTATTAGGTACTATAAATTATATAGAGATAATTTAATATATGAGAAGATATATATTATAATGTTAAAAAACAAATAGATTATAAACAAATTTGGGGCCATTTTGTATAAGGGATTTGAGCATTTACAGATTTCTGTATGGAAGAAGGGTGTCCTGGAACCAATCTACCTCTGATACTGAGGTACAACTGTAAACACTCAGGAAAATTACCATGTATTTAACACTATTATCTAATGTGGGATCTTTACTCCAATTTATCCATCTGTCCCCAAAATGCCATTTTTTCCCCTTTTTAAATCCAGGATCACACAATGCACAAGAATAAATCCTAATTGATCAGAATCTCAATGTAGAAAATGAAACCATACAGTTAGTTACTCTACAACTTATGTCTGGAAAAAGCTAACTATAAGCCAGGTGCCATGGCACATGTCTGTAATCCCAGTGACTCTGGAAGTTTAGGTAGGAGGATCACAAGTTTGAGGCCAGCCTCAGCAACTTAGTGAGATCCTGTCTCAAAAATAATAACGGCGTGTGGGGGGTGGGATGGAGGCTGTGGTAAGAGTACCCCTGGGGTCAATATCCAGTACCACATACAAAAAAAGCGCTAACTGTGACTCCAAAACCAAATGCAATAAAAGATTGATGCATTTGATTACATAATATTTTTAACTTTTGCATATTAAAAAAAAACTTCATAAGCAAAGTTGAAAGAGAACTGGGAAAAAAAGGAAGACATTTTAGAGCATGTATCATGAAAAAGGGCTTGCATCCCTAATATACGAAGAAATCTGAATTTTCATGGGGAAAACTGGGACTCCAGCAGACAAAGTGATTTGTTGAAGTCACACAACGGGAAACCGAACAGCGATTTGAACTCAGTTCGCAAGCAGCGTGGAAGCTGCCCGTTGTGGCCACCAGGGGGCGCACTCTACTGAGTTCCCGACACTCTTAGTCACTCAACATAAGTGCGCCGCCTCCCTCAGAAAGGTCCTATGTAGCAGCTGAACCCTGCAGACAGCCCCACTCCAAAGCTCATTCCCTGAGAGTACTGAGCCAAGACGATGTCATCATTGTGTGCTCAGTTTTCTCATCTCTAAAGAGGGGCCCAAAACAGGACCTAACTCACAGGACACAGGGAGAATTAAGAGCTTGCACAGTGACGCCCAGTGAATGTTCCTCATCAGCGTTGGTGCCTTTAAGAACACTGTATTTGTCTAAGGTCATTGCGCCCAAAATGTGGATGACATTTCTCCTTGGTGTGTTCACACGCCACTGTAGACTAAAGTCACCATCTGGGAGGAAGGGCTTTGGCATTTTTCAATTTCCAGATGGTGTGCGGCAGTGGTCAGGCGCAGCGAGCTAAGAATTCCTGCAGGCTTAGGGCTTTTTGAGGGGGTTTGGTCCGGGTTTGGGCTTGTTCTGTTCTGTTTTGCAGGACTGGGGCTGGAACCCAGGAGCGCGCTGCCACGGGGCTGTATCCTTGACCCTTTGGAATTTTTACTTTGAGACTAGGTCCTGCCAAATTGCTGTCACTGACTTCAAACTTTCGATCCTTCTGCCTCAACCCCACCCCCACCCCCACCCCAGTAGCTGGGATCACAGAAAAAGCCCCAGGAGTGAAGCAGCCCAGGACAAAGGGCACTTAAGGTGAACATCGGCCAATGGTCAAGTCACTTTCTAGAAGGATTATTCTAACCCAGATGCCTCCTAGCAATGCCAGTAAAGAAACTCTCACAACTGGTGCAGTCTGCTGGAAAGGTCCGGAGCATCCGCCCTGGGGAGGTGTAAGTAGGTGTCCTGTGACTATTCGCCAGGAGCTGCCAGGATTGGTGCAAACTTGCCTTGGTTGAAGGTGAGGCTCAGGAACCCTTAAGGAGCCTTCAGCGTCTCTGGGACAGAGGCTAAAACTGAAAGTTCTGACTGTAGCCCCGTGCAGAGGCCCACACATGTAATCCGAGCCACTCGGGAGGCTGAGGCAGGAGGATCACAAGTTGGAGGCCATCCTGGGCAACTTAGCAAGACCCAGTCTCAAAATAAAATCTACAAAGGGTTAAGGATACAACCCAGTGGTAGAGAACTTGCCTAGCATGTGCGAGACCCTGGGTTCAATTCCCAGAACTACGAAAATAAAAAGTCTTATTTTCTTTCCTCTTTAAGTTCCCCTTCCTGCTTCTGATTCTGCCATCCCCAGGTTCCTACATGATTTCTGGGGCAGGCGCCCACACCCTGGGCCTCTGAAGCAAGCATGCTGAGCGTGGAGAGGCCCTGGCCTTACCTCTGAGGGAAGGAGGATGCCCGGCCTGGAGAGTGAGTGGAGACTCAAGTGCCATCTCTCAGACTGGAGTGCAATCCCATGTAGGCCACTTCCCAAAGCGTGCCCTGTGGACAGGCGGCTGCATCTCCCTGAGGTCAGTTTCCCTTCTCAGTAAAATGAGGTCATTGTTGCCTCCCCCTGAAGGATTGCGATGGCATGGGTGTGCACAGAATAAATGCTACTCTGCAAACAGTGTATTTTGATTGACGTGGCCTTTGTTCAGAGGACAAGGACAGGCTCGGTCCAGAAGTGATGTTGTAGGAAGCAGTCCACCCAATGGGATTCGAGGGTCCCTTCCCCACCTGCCAGCAAATACAGCTCCCCTCTGTGGCTCTTCTCCTTGCCTAAGCATTCACTATTGGTGACTTCCTTGGACTGAGGCGGGTGACAATCTGTGTTTTCCAAATGTGGTCACACCTCGTCTCACATTCTCTTCCTACCATGTGACTTTGTCCGACCTTGCACGGAGAGGTAGGGTCCATTTCCTCTCCTTGAATCTGGGTGGGCATGACTGTAGTGCAAGTGACATGATGGGAGCATGTCACTTCCACAACTGAGTCATAAAATCCATCAGAGCTTCTTTGTTGTTCTCTGAAACCTTTGTGCCGTCCCCTGTCGGCCAGTCTGCGCCCCCCCCCCCCCCCGCCATCAGGCCACCAGGGACTAAGAGTCCCAGAAATCAAATCAGCTCCCACAGAGGGATCCTGCGGAAAAGCACGGGACTAAATGAAGGAGGACACATCCCCAGGCAGCCCCCGGCCATCTGCCCCAGCCCCAGCCACGGTGACCACACACACAGGAGGCATCTGAGCCAGAACCACTAAGCTGAGCCCTTCGCAAGTTCAGGAGCCTCAGGGACACAGATAACAAAATGTTGTCATGTCAGGTCCCTGTCTCTGGGGGTGGTATGTTACGCAGCCCGAGGTGACTTATACAAGCATAGAACCCTTGTCTCCAAGGAAAGGAAATCAGCATTGTCCTCGGGGACGCCAGTCAGTCCGATTCTTTAATTCTCAGTGGTACATTAATGAGAACGAGAACAAGCTTCCATTTATTGGACTCTTTCACCCACCAGGCACTGCGGTGTGGGCTTTGCTCTGCGTATAGAATTTCAAAGAGCCCTCCCCACAGCCCAGTGAGCGAGGGCCCCAAAGTCCTGCTTTGTTCTCCGCTTCCAGATGAGGAAACCCAGGCTCAGAGAGAGGACATGACTTGTTCCCAGTCAAGTGGCTGGCAAACGGCAAAGCTGGGGTCTGAAGCTGGGTCCGAGTGACTTCTCAGGCGGCTCCTACCAGGTACCACTGGCCCTTCCCTGCCTGGAAAAGAGGCCCTGACTGTCCACCGTGCGCGGTGAACCAGGGGCTATCTTTCAGGCCTCGTCTGTCTCCTTGCCATGTCCCCAGGTTCCTCTCCTCCCTGGACCTCTCCAGGGATCTCTCAAGAGACACTCATGCTCCCCCTTGCAGGCCCCCAATCCAGTCCAATCCTGGGAGACAGAGAGGTTGTGACCTGCCTAACCAGTTGACCTACCATGGTGACATTGAGGCCTTCCCCTGGCTGGGCGCCTGAATCCCAGGGTCAGAGCCCCTTAGGGGAGGAGGACTTTGGCTTCAAACTCAGCAATTCTGGAGCTACTTCCCCAGGCAGCAGGTGGCAGAGGGGGAGGGGGCCAGCTGACCCCAGAACAAGTTCAGCACTTGATACAGGCATCCATGTGCTTGCTGGCTGCCCAGACATGGGGACAGGTTGGGCCTGGGCCCCGCTATGAGGATGGGGCACACAGGCACCTAATGGCCACACTGTAGTAATAATGAGATAAGAGTGACAACAGTGTCTTCCATTGAGGGAAGACCCCAGGGGGTAGGCACCACTGTCCTCCCCATTTTACAGGGAAGGAAACTGAGCTCAGAGAGTCTGAGTAGTTCTGGAAGGTCACACGGAAGCCTAATGCTCTGTGATTCCAAACTCATGCTTGGGACCTCGTCACCCGCTGGGATGGGAATTAGAGGCGGGCGGGCACTAGAGGTAGGGAGCCCCACGGAGAGTGCGGATGGAGAAGAAAGCACAGGCCAGGGGGAAGCCTTGAAAAAGGGATGCTAGCAAGGGAAATAGGAGCTTGGTCAGGAACCTCACCTCGAGGCAGATGTTTGCAGATAGGTGACTTTTGAGTTGGGCCTGAGTAAGATGGGCTGGGCCAGGTGTGGTGGCTGAACACACCCTTGGAATTCCAGTGACTCAGAAAGTGGAGGCTGGAGGATGGGAAGGTAGGAGGCCGGCTTCAGCAGCTTAGTGAGCCCTGTCTCAAAAGTAAATAATAATCACAATAATGGAAAAGTTTGTCAGGGGGAGGAGGATGGGGGTGGCATGGGGCAGCGGCTTGGAGGAGCCCAGATGTGTGGCTGTGTGTAAGGTCTGGGAGTGTTCAGGGAATGGCTAGCCTCTGGCCCAGGGTACAAAGGGGTGGGGGTTAAGAGGTCAGAGAGATGGGATGACAGCAGGAGTGGCCCTGCCCCCAACTGCCTCAGGTCCGGTGCCAGCCCCTGCAGAGCATAAACGGGATGCCAGCAGAGGGAAACAGGAGCTTCATCAGGAACCTCAAATCGGGGGCGGATGTTTGCAGATAGGTGTGGCCTTCCCCACTCGGGATCGTCCCTAGTTCTTCCCATCGCCTTTCATTACCAGGATCCCGCCCTGGGAAGGGAGTCTCCCCGTTCACCCTCTAACTGCTCCCTCTCTGGCCTCCTGCTGCCTCCTGCTTCTGCTTTCGTGGTGAAAGCAGAACCAAAGGCTGGGGACAGAAGGGAAAGTGGACAGCAGGATCAAACTCGCTCTTGCCCCCCCACCTCCGGCAGCTTGTACCTTTAAGGGTGTGGGCGGGGCAAGATGGAAGGGCGGGGCGAGCCGGAGGGGCGGGGCGAGCTGGAGGGCGGGGCGAGCTGCCCGGCTGACTCCGGGCGGGGCGCCCTGGCCAGCGGCGCGGGGCGGAAGGTCGGGCGCGCCCCCGAGGGACCGGGAGGCCGTGAGGCCCGATGCGGGGAGGCGCGGAGTGTGCAGATCCCAGGCCCGGCCCGAGGTAAGCGGCGCCGCCCGCCCGCTGCCAGCGGACCCGGCACCCCAACTTCGACTCCTCAGCGCCCGCCCCGAGTGGAACTGGGCAGCAGAGTCCCGAGGGCTCGCGCCCAGAAAGCGCAGCCCCCTCTCGTGTCCCCGTCCCTTCGCACCAGCACTGGACCCGGGGACCCGCCACGGGAGGGGCCCCATCAGTGCTGATTTGGGAAGTGAAAGGAAGTCGGCGGCCAGTAGAGACCTGCTGGTCCTCGTGCGCTGGGACACCAGGGGCATTGACCGCACGCTCCGCGGGCCAGCATGTGTGTCCATTTTACAGATGAGCCATTGGAGGCTCCGAGAGAAGTGACCTCCTCGAGGCTGCACGGACAGTCCGCGGCAGACACCCAACTGCCAGGCGGGTGTTTTTCCGTCCAGGTCGCTGCCAGGTGGAGAGGCTCCAACTCGCTTTGGAGTCCAGGAGGACAGCGCATCTGGTCAGCAGGTGAGGGAGCTCCGTGCCGCAGGCGACCCCTGCGCCGTCAGGTCCCCTTCTCTTCCTCTGGGCCTCCTTCTCCTCCTCCACCTCCTCCTCTTCCTCCTCCTCCCTCCACACTGAGCCACCAAGACATTGAGAAACATCTGTTCAAAGAATCACCAAGAAAAAGAGAAAAAGAAAAGATCGACATCGACCTTGTTTTTCCTGATGGCAAAATTAAACAGACTCACCCTGGCCATGTGGACCAAGTTCTCCCAGTTGAATTGCTTTGAAGGAAAAATGAAGCCCTTATCCACGGTTGTTAAGGGACAGGCAGATGCCAGCACCCAGCCCCCTGCCACTGCCAGGAGGCCGGTGGCTTTGAGCAATTGACTTCCCTCTGGGCCTCATTTCCTCACCAGAGGAGCAGATGACTTTGTGGCCGACCACCTTGCCTTGTGACCTTGGGTGGGCTGCAGAATTCCTCTGAGTCCCAACCTCTTAAAGCAGCAAGGGTGATGGCAACTGGATGAGGGAGAGGTGGCCCAGAGTGGGGACAGGACTGACTTCACCTCATCATGTCTCAGTTTGCTCTTTTGTGAAATGGGAATGAGAACAGGGTTTTGACTGAGTGCGGTATTCTGGTAAAGGGCTTAGCACTCTTGTTTTTGGTCCTGGGGATTGAAATCAGGGACACTTTATCCCTGAGCTGCATCCCAGCTCTTTTTCTTTTAATTTTAATGTTAATATTTTTTTTAGTTGTAGTTGGACACAGCACCTTTATTTTATTTATTTATTTTGGTGTGGTGCTGAAGATCGAACCCAGGGCCTCACACATGCGAAGCAAGCGCTCTGCCGCTGAGCCACGACCCCAGCCCCTTCTTTTTCATTTTAAGACAGGGTCTCACTAAGTATTTATTGATTTATAATAATATTTATTATTGCTGGGTAAGGCTCTGTCTGCAATCCTCCTGCCTCGGCCTCCCCAGTCGCTGGAGTAGTAGTTGTGTGCCACGCACCCTGTGCTCTTGGCTCTTTATAAAACAGAATGACAGATTGCTTAGCAGGCTGTGGGACCGATGGATGGCCTCTCAGACTGGCAGCCACAGGCCAAGGACATCCAAGAAGATGTTTGCCTTGATTCTGAGGAATTTCTGGGTCCCCACCACTGTTACCTACCCCCGAGGCCCCGGAGGCATGTGTCCCTGGAACACCCTTCCAGCCCTGGTGTTCCCGTCTCAGCCCTGATATTCCGGGGCCAGGTGTCTGTGTGTCGGGTGATGGGGGCAGTTTTGGTGGAGGCTCCCTGGGGGCTGAGGAAGGCCACAGTGTGACCTGCACGCCACATGGCCAGGGCCCTGACTCTGCTCACCGAGCTCCATCTGCACTGTGGTTGGGTAGGGGGAGGAGAGAGGGCAGCACCTTAGCTGGTCTGAAGCCCCTCTTGCTGTGTCCTGGGATCTTCCGTAACACTGTCCCCTCTCTCACTCCGCCCCCTAGGCTGCTGGAGCACCTGCCATTGGAGCTGACTTCCTACAGACAGGGAAGTGGAGCGAGGCTCAGGCGCTGTGGGGTCAATGGCCAGCAGATGGCTGGGTCTCTCGGGGCGCTGAGACGGCTCTGTGTGCTCCTGATGGCGGAGACAGTGTCTGGGGCCTGGGGCCCATCAACAGGGACCCACATCAGCCCCCCATTTCCAGCCCTGGCTGTGAACCAGACCCCCATGGCAGATGTGAGTATCCAGGCAGGAAGCTGGGGTCGGGCAGGGGTGCGTTCATTCCATTAACAAACATTTATTATTGCTGGGTGCGGTGGCACATGCCTGTAACCCCAGCAGTGGGGGAGGCTGAGGCAGGAGGATCACAAGCTCAAAGCCAGCCTCAGCAAGGGCTGGGGAGATGTGTATAAATGAGCATCCACTATGTGCTGGGCACTGAATGGAGTCCTGGATATAAGAAGAAAGACAGACATCCTGGCCTCCCTGTGCTGATGGTCTCCTAGGCAGGGACAGACAGGAGTAAGCTGGTGGCTTTCCGATGGTAACGTGCTGTTTTCAGCAAAGAGTAGATAAAGTGGTGCGGGGAGGGGTGTGAGGTTTCCAGCGACTTCAGGTTGGGTCACAGAATGTTTCTGTGAGGAAGTGACCTTTGAGCTGAGCCCTGAATGGAGAGGGAACATTTGGAGGGAGAGCGCTGGGGCAAGAGGACCAGCAGGTGCAAAGGCCCTGAGGTGGGAGTGAGCTTGGTGTGTTCCTGGAGCAGCTTGGAGGCCAGGATGGGCTCAGGGTGAGTCAGGGAAGACTGTCAAGAGGACCAGGAGGGAGTAGCGGCCAGTTATGAAAGGCCCTGTGGGTGGAGGCTGGGGGTGACTACTTTAAGGCAGTTGGTAGCCCCTGGAGGGTTTTAAACAGGGGGAGGTCAGAATCCAGTTTATTTGTTCAAGGGACCTCTGGTTGCTGTGGATAGAACGGGTTGAGAGGGGAGACATTGGTGGGAGAGAGAGATGGGGGGGCGCTCTGGTCATCCAGGGGCACAGGGCAGGTGTGAGGGACAGGGACCAAGTGGAGGGACAGAAAGCAGGGCATCCTGCTGGGTCAGGTGGGCACAGTGGTGAGAGAGGTGGCGAGTAGTTCCAGGCTTCCGGCCGGATCAACCGAGGGCCTGGGGGTCCGTGGACTCAGACAGGGAGCCCCCGGAGGAGCCATAAGGGTCCTGGGATTGGAGGCAAGAGAGCCCCTCCAGCGCCTACTGGGCCCAGCGATGCCTCCAGGGGCCCCATGTCGCCCCAGCCTGAGGTCGCCCCAGCCTGAGGTCTGCGGGAGGAGACCCCAAGTAGGAATGAAGGCGGGGGCTGCTCATAGGATCACAGGGTCTCCTCCACAGGGGTCAGGCGTCTCCTCCAGCAGGGGTCACTGTTGGCGCCCACACTTGGAGCCAGGGGACAGTTATGCCCTGTTCACAGACGGAGAGGTGGCTTGTGGTTGTGAAATCGCTGCCTCTTGGGGCAGGGAAACAGTGATCCCTGTGCAGACGTGGGCTGTCCCAGGGTCCCATGGAGCCACAGGAGGGGTTGGGGCCCAGGAAGGAGGGAGTGACCCACGGTTTACAGGAGCCCCACTGGCGGCCATGGGGGCTGGGCGGTGGGGACAGAGGCGGGGAGCAGGGACACCCTGGCACAGGCGCACTGGTGAGGTGTGGCAGTGGCCCTGGGACCGAGCCTGACTGGGGACTTGGGGGAGCAATAGGAACAGGATGTCCAGAGCCACCCGGGGCCTTAGTGCAGGCTGGCTGAGTGTGGCCTCAGCACCTGGGGACAGGTCTGTTGTGGGCCACCAGGGTCTCTGGGGAAGGGAGCACAGCTGCAGTGAGGGTGTCGGTGGCCAGATGCTGGACACTTGGGCTGACCCTGGAGGTCCGAGGGGCCAGGACAGAAGATCAGTCTCCCCCTGGAGAAAGGGGGCGCAGCTGATGTCACTGAGTACCAACTGTGGGCCAGGAGAGTCTCTGGACATGGGTTTCAGGGGCCAGGAACATGACCTGGGGCAAACCCAGACCGCTGCTGGCTTTGAACAAAAGAGAGCTCTCTCCATGACGCGGGGAATTACGTGATGTGCATACGAGGGTCCTAATTACATTTTCTTTGAGGGGGTACCCGGGATGGAACCCAGGGGCGCTCCACCACTGAGCCCCATCCCCAGCCCTGTTTGGTATTTTATTTAGAGACAGGGTGTCACTGAGTGGCTTAGGGCCTCACTGTTGCTGAGGCTGGCTTTGAACTGGCGATCCTCCTGCCTCAGCCTCCCGAGCTGCTGGGATCACAGGTGTGCACCACCGCGCCTGGACTTAATTACGTTTCTGTTGGAACGCGGCCACACACGTCATTCACGTGAGCCCACGACTCTGTGCCAGCCCCCCTGTCCTGACTGCATTTGCCGGAGGAGGTGCCTTGACAGCTGGGGACATTCGGGAAAGACCCCTTATGAAATCCCAGGTGCTAAAGAACTAAACAGAAAAGTCTTGAAGTGTCCCCTCAACCACCCGGTTGCTTAATTCTTTGGCTCTTGGTGGAGCCAGGGTAGATTCTGGCCACCTGTGTCCCCACATTAGATCTTCAAGCAAAGGCAGAAGAGCATGTAAGGAAACATATGTGGCCCCTGTATAGAAACCAAAGCCCAGAGACGTCGAGGGGCTTCCCGAAGGTTACACAGCAAGCTGGGTATCACCCAGGCCTCCC